GCCCTTTCACTGATAACAATTGGATTGAGTTCATGACTAACAATAAGATTTTTCTTAGGGAATTGAAGACATGCATTCAAAATCTGACAGTGGGAACCAAGTGGTTTCAGAGGTGAATCAACCGTCGTCGTCGTCTATAAATAGTTTAAACCCGTGGCATCGCGCTGCTGCTGCCTGTAATGCAAGCTCTTTTGTGGAAGGTGGAGATAAGTCTTCCAAGTTAATAGCATTGGAAAACCAAAATGATTCGGAATCAAACGGTTCCAAGTCACCATCTAATAGATATGCGAATGTTAACAAGGAATCACTAGCCACAACGTCTCCTCAGTCAGGTGTATTTGATTTGTTCTCTCAGTGCTACGGATTTGCTTACAGTTTGTTTGTTTTTTTTAAGTTCTTTTTACCAAGTGTTGGTTAGTGTATTTCGATATGCAGATGGAGATTACAGTGGAAAAAATCAAGAACTTCTGCATCCTGGCATTACACAACCTCCTCACCCTCGACTTGTTGCCCACTCAGTGGTAATTTCCAAATATATCTAGCTGATAAATATAAACGATTTTTAGCTATCTGCTTACAATTTCGTTTATGGTAATGAATCTTACAGGGATGGGCTTCCTCAAATCCATACCAGGATCCATATTATGCGGGAATGATGGGAGCCTACGGACATCATCCCTTGGTATATGACTTTATTAATCAAACTATCTTTGTTTCCAACTAGTTTTTTATCTGTTAAGACTGTTTGATTTGTTCACGGGACACGGTTGGATGGTATGTCTGCCACAATTCATAGCACTATTGGGGTTTGAAACATGAGATTGCTGGTTAAAATCTTCTGGTAGCCTTTGGAGTCTAGCATGATTATAATTGTTATAACAGTATTCATGGTGTGAAAATGGTACAAGTGTGGAGTACCTTTTCTTGATAAATAAAAGAACGCTGATTTAAGCTGTTAGTGTATTGGAAAGAACAAGAAGATGCATTCAATTAGTTAACTTTCGACAGGATTTATGCATCCATGTGACTTTCTGATAGCTAACACTTTCCCTTCCCTATCAGAGTTTTATTCCATACGGTGGGATGCCTCATTCAAGAATGCCACTGCCTCCAGAGATAGCACAAGAGCCAGTTTACGTGAATGCTAAACAATACCAGGCGATTCTGAGGCGAAGGCAGGCACGCGCCAAGGCAGAGCTAGAGAAGAAGCTAATCAAATCCAGAAAGGTGAATTGCGTGTTACGATGAATACTATTAGTCTCTTGAGAGCTCTGATCTAAATGCGAAGGACCCATCAGTCCATCACATTGCGTAATGCATCATTTTCTCTTCGTGCTTCGCAGCCTTATCTCCACGAATCTCGGCATCAGCATGCTATGAGGAGGCCAAGGGGTACTGGAGGAAGGTTTGCAAAGAAAACAAACACCGAAGCTTCACAGCAAAAAGCTCAAGAAAAGAGTAATAATGCTTGTCTTACTCAGTCCCCAACGTCATCTAATTCTGATCAACCTGAAGCGAGGAATGAAGAGTATAGAACACATCAGGGACAAGATGAGATGCAGAGCTCAGCTTATAAGAGAAGGGAAGAAGGAGACTGTTCAGGGCAGCAATGGAACAGTATTTCTTCAAACCATCCTTCTCAATCGCGTCTAGCCATCAAGTGACCTCACATGCCGGCAATTCATTCTTGGCTTCCTCTCCGTTGGCTTATTTGATAGCAGCCATTGAAGAGTTTTCTACTCGTTTTTTTCCTTCTTTTTTTGTACAAATACTTTTGTGTGCTGTACATTTTTTGTTTTGTCACTTAGGGAAACCTCAAATGTTGCTACCATTAGACCATTCACAACAATCAGACAGTTCACAATAGGATAAGACAAATCACAATGGAGCTGTTGAATTATTGAATTAAAAATGGGCTGTTAAAAACATAAAATACAAAAGTAGTTTCAACTCAGTTTAATTTTTTCAACGGGTTGAATTAGAAGATTTGGGCTGTTTTATTGTTAGTGATTCTGGAGATTTTTATCTCCAAATGGATAT